ACTCTCTCCGATTTGTCCACATCCTTTCTGTAGTGGGGGGAGCCCACAACTGGACACAGGACTCCAGATGTGGCCCCACCGGTGCAGAAGAGAGAGGAAGAACCACTTCCCTAGATCTGCTGGCAAATGGAGGCTCTTGATCGCTGAATTTAGCCACAGTTTGTCCCCGGGGGTATCAGCCAGGCCAAGGAGAGTGGTAGCAAGCAGGCAGCAAGACATCCTTGTGAGACAGCTGCATCGCTGCATGCTCCTGCTCCTCACGTGACAGGAGGGAACATCTCCCAGGAAGACAGAAGAGGGCTGGACCTGGCATCTGCACTTTCCCCACTGTGATGAGTGAAGAGTCCCAGCACGAGCACACTCAGAGGTGGAACAACACACGACCGCTCATCTTTACGTTACAACCACTCACAGCTTGCAACGAGGTGGCTGGGGGCGCGGGCATGAACAGAGCGTAGGCGTGGGGCAGCCCACCACATCGCTCTCTCCCATTGAAGGGAGGTGGATTTACTCCATCGGTGCAAGCATTTACCCAGCGAGGATGTCGATCCCAGGTCTGCCTCGCTCTGTAGACACCCCCGTCAGCACCCTACTGCTGAAGAGCTTTCTCTCCCCTTGCCCGCAGGCAGTGTCAGGGGAGGCTTCTGCCCCTTTTCTACGCATTGCCCTTTTCTCCACCCAGCAGCGCAGCAACAATCATCTGACCTCTCTTGTTCCCGAGAAAGGAGGGTGCCAACTGAACTCAACCTGGCAAACTGCCTCAATTTTTCTTTTCTTTTTTCTTGCAGCAGAGCCAGCCAATCCTTCCAGAAATCCAGAGCCCTCCAAGAAAAGCACCAGGTCGCTCATGTATTTGACATGGCCAACGAATAGGGTGGATCTTTATTTTTAAATTACAGTGAAATACCGAGGGACTTTCTGCTGCCAGATGCCTTCTGTCGGGGAGGCAGCGTGAGCTCTACATTCGTTTCCCTCCCCACCCTTCAGATCCCGTCCCAAACACTGCAAATCTTTAGCAAGATGCCGTGCGACTCACCCAGTTCCTTAGAGCCTTGGCTTTCGCTGGCCAGCTCCCCCATCTTAACCAGAGCATCGAAGTATCCCTTTGCTGCGAAGGTCACACCTGAAACCATCAAAAGAAAAGCAGAGGGTGTTATCTATGAGGATCCTAATTTATGCAACATCTACATGCAAAGCACACCACAAAGCAAACAGGCAAGGTCCAAAAGGCTTATGGTTAGTGCTAGGTAAAAAGACTATTGGGGCAGGGGGACAGAAGGCATTAGAGCTATGAGATTAAGGGGTTATTTGGCCCCCAAAAAAGGTCGGTGATCTCTGAAGCAGGTGCATTTTCAAACATGCTCTGGTGTTTGCAATGCACAGCTTGCCGCGGCTGCCGGAGGCACGGCCACATCGCTGAAGAGCGCCGCCCTCCGTAACAGGCCGTTCTTGTAGCTGGTCTGTTGACACTCCATCTACACACTTTATCACTTTAATCAGATAAGCAGGGGGGTTTCCTCTAATCACAAGAACATGTTGTACAGCTCAGGCTCGACTCCAGGACATCTCTGCTGCGGTTTCTTCCCGCACATGTTATTGATTACGCTGCTTCCTTTAGATGTCCTTCACAGGGGCCCAGGGCAGAGCAACAGAAAAGCCGGGCTGGAAGCTGTGGGACGGCAGGTGTTGCAAAGGGAACGGGGGACATGGGGCCAGGACCCACAGCTCAAAGCAGGTCCCCCCCACACAGGACCTTTAGGCATCCACAGCCAAATGCTTTAAAAAAAAAAAAAAAAATCTATGCATGGATTAAAGCAGCAGCATTTCAAGTGAGAGATTCTCCAGTTCTGGGCCAGATCGATGGGGGATGTCTAATAAAAGCACCCCTGATTGGAAACTCAGAGTCCCCCCTCCAGCCCCCTGACTGCAAAGTGTTGTGTGTTTCCTCTCCAGGGCAAACTCGATTTTTACTGCTGCCTACGCAGAACAGCAGAATTAAAATGAGATTAATAAGAAAAAAACCCACACAACTCATGAATTGAGATTTAGTTAACGTGGTTTAATGCAGCTGGAGACTGCCATTAAGTCCCAGTACCCCAGGAGATGAAACAAGAGGCCAGAAGAGCAGGAACATTTATATGTTTTGTTTTTTTTTTCCTGAGGCGGCAGAGCTTGCCTGGCAAATCCCACTGGTTATCTGCACATTGTCCAAAAGCACTGTCTGAAATCTCGGCCAGAGGATGCAGGCCTCAAGGAGGGAGCCTGAATCACCACATCCAGGCAGATTTGCTCTCTTTATCAAAAGAGGCAGCTGAACGTGGACCCTGAACTGGGAGGTAGGCGCAGGGACTGCCAAAGGTGCAAGGCTCGCCTCACTCGCCCCTTTTTCTTACGGGGACATACCTCAGCATGGATTCACTTAAGAGCAGCTTGACTATAAGATTTTTTTCATGTGTCTTCTTCAAAATGATAAGCCTATTCCCTAAAAAGGCCAGCTACCTCCAACAGATAGTCCAAAATCCAGTGCCAAAGGGGATCCTGCACAGCCGTCATAAGCACAGGGTCTCTGTGAAAAGGCCAGTGCATGGCCCCAGAACACATGCTGAGTGCAAGTCCAGAGTCCAGCCACACTGGAAGCCAGACAAGATTTGAATGGCTTTAAATCAAGCAGCAATGAAAGCCAAGGGACCATCCAGCAACTGAAATCTCAGTGCCCTTAACTACTTCCCAGAGGAACAGATGTCTTCACTTTCATCTCTCCAGGATTTTATCTGCATCACTCTGGGTGTGCCTTGCCTTCCTTCCAAGCAAAGCCAAAATCAAGTCTCCATTAAAAAAAAAAAAAAATGTTTTATTACTATTTAAAAGGGCCAGATGATCTTTGGGGGAAAAAATGCCACAAACATTTTTAACATCCTACTGGCCTCTAGAATCGAATGCTCAAGAGTGCCTCATGCTTGGACTATTTTCGAGTCCTGCAGAGGCCAATGACGGTGTCTGGGGGCTGGGGGACAGGACTGGTGAGGAGAGGCTGAGAGAAATGGGCTGATTTAGTCTGCAGAAGAGAAGACCGAGGGGGATTGAACAGCAGCTTCAGCTCCCTGCAGGGGGGCTGCAAAGAGGATGGAGCTGGACTGTTCTCAGTGGGGGCAGATGACAGGACAAGGAGCAATGGGCTCAAGTTGCAGCAAGGGAGGTTTATGTTGGATATTAGGAAACACTTTCTCACGAGGAAGGTGGTCAAACACTGGACCAGGTTGCCCAGACAGTGGTGGACTCTCCATCCTTGGAGGCTTTTAAAACTCAGCGAGACAAAGCCTTGGCTGGGATGGAGTTGAGGCTGGTCCTGCTTGGAGCAGGGGGTTGGACTAGATGTGACCTCCTGAGGTCCCTCCCAACACTCATTTTCTATGATTCTGTGATTCCCAAGAAAACGGCTCCATGCCAGGTTTCCTAAGGCAATTTGCCCAAGACAGGTGTTGTGCCTCTCATGCCATAATGAGAGGACAGTGATGTTCAACCAGGCCAGAGGATGGGCACAGGGCAGTCCAGGGGCCAGATCCTGTGCCCAGTGTTGGCAGGTCATGTACTGGGTCTGCCCATGTGCCGGCCAAACCCCGTGCACCAGTGACACCACACACCATCATTTGGTTTGTAGAACTGGAAATTTGGCATCAGGGGACCAGCAACTAATGCTTCCACAGCCTCCCAACCTCCAGACCCATGGGAAGCCCTACGGTCCAGATGACATGGGTCCACAGGCCAGGTCGAGCCCATGGGCTGGAGACTGAGCACTGCTGTGATAAGACACTTGACTCTAGCTTCCAAAATCCTCACCACAGTGATTCCCCCATGAGCACAGGCATCCTGTGATGTGCTTCTAGGACAATGCTGTTGCCAGCCGCTCCCCTAGATGCTGCGTGGCCTGGTGCTCCCCGGTTGTCAGCTAGGTATGCATTTGCAGCTCAACTTCACTTACTTGCCAAGGCTTTCTCGTAGTTCTTCCCCATGGAAATGAAGTTTCTGAGGCTGGGATTGAACTGTTCCATGATCGTCTGGATGAAGGAAAACAGGGAAAAAAAAACACAACAGATGTTAGCAAAGGTGGCTGGGAGGAGAGACAATTAAAAGGAAGAGGGTTCCCTGTCATTAGGCGAAACCTCCCCATGGCCGCCTCATGTATGCACACACAGCAGCTGATTCACAACATGCACACGCGCCGCCATGCCGAGCGGAGCACCCTCCCACGCGCCGCTCCATAGACAACACAATCCAAACACTGAGCACGCAACGGACCTGTTTTAATAAACGAGACATCACGACCACATTGCAACATGCCCAGAGGAATACTTTTGCTCTCTCTGCAGGAGGTAGCGAGCCAAGGAGAAACAGGATCACAGGACAATACAGGATCGGATCAGCTGGGATCCTTCCAAAAGCTGAGTAAGAATGTACTCAGCTGCACAGTTGACAGAAACAGCCCGACTAGAAGTAATGCTCAGACTGATCAATGCTATATTTTCATCCCTCATGTACCGAGCCCTGCTTTTATGAGAGGAGACTAAGTCCTCGCAACAGTGCCAAGTTGTACGGGCAGCAACACAGCCAGAAACCCAGGGGCGTGGGATGCACCGGTGATGGGGGTTTGTACCTGGGTGGAACAACGCTCCAGTCCCAGATGGGAGCTGGCCAACTTGCCCATGGTGACACCGAGCAGAAAGCCATCTGCCTCTGCACGGTCAGAGAAAGGCTTGCATGCATGCAACCAGTGACCACGGCCCCTCTTTGCGCATCTCACTTTGCTCCTACCCCAACGACTGAAAGCTGCGTAGATTTTACGTCCATCCTTACATACCCAACTTAGCTCTAATGCTTCATGCCTCCAGCTTGCTGCAGGCTTTGCCTCTTCTCCTTTCTGCATGTGGCACACTATAGTTTTGGAGGCCTCTGCATGGTTTTCTGAAAAACCCTGGGTTTGCTAAAGTGTGCTATGGGGGTGCTCTGTGGCTGTGGCACTGGGGAGGCTGGGTTTGCTTGGCCTTGAGCGCGGCTGCTTCTGACAGCATGAAGGGGCGATCCTTCCCTATCCTCTGCTTCTAGGGTAGTGGAAGATGCATTTCGGGAGATGCATTCAACCCTTGCGTGCTTCCGCGCAGGGTCTAAATGGACGCGCCACCTCCCTGCGGTAGCAACGCAGTTTCCCTCTGGGAAGAAATTACGGGCAGCGTCAGCAGCTGAAGGTCTGCTGTGAAGAGCAAGGAAGGTTTCTCTTTCCCGTCTTACGTTGCACTGGTCATTACCCAGCCTCTGCTGAATCAGCTCATCAGATTAAGAGAAGGGATTAGAGGAACCTTCGTTTCCTTTTATCAGCAAAAAGCAACTGCTCCGGAGAACCAGGCCTCAGAGCATGCTCCGTCGCCAGCCGCTGGCCCAGCCCCGATGCTTCGTGTGAGGAGTAAAACCTGAAGCTAACAGCAGCCCTTGGGCATGTCTGAGTAATGCTGCCTTCAGGCCCTGTGGCTGGATGTGCAAGACGAGAGCCTCCTCGAGAGCTCAGGTTGTCATAGAGTCTAATTGAGAAAAGTCAGCGCCCACCAACGTGAGACGTTTCGGACAGGGCAGGGAATTAGGTGCTATTCTCAGTCTGCTCCTAGCCACGCATCCTGGCTGGGTCTGATCCACTTACCGCCAGCCTGGGATTTACTTTTATTAACTTAAAGAACACTGAAATAAAAAACCAGAGCCCGAGCTTTCTCCTGAGCCAATATGTTCCTACCGCCTTTCCCTGCAGCATCCATCTGTCTCTGCTCCTCGCTCGCTCTTCCTCGGAGAGGTTCACACCCTTTTTTGCACTACTGTGCGAGTGCTGGCAGTGCCCAGCTGGCTACCTAGAGCAAATCAGCAGAAGTAGCTGTGCAACGCTGCAGCATCCCAGCTTCTGGGCCCTGGGTGCTCAGACCTCTGCCCAGGAATTTCCCATCCTCTTCCGGGAAGTTTTAGTGAGCGAAGGCATTGCCGAGAAATCTCCTTCGGCATGTTACAACACACAGAAACCAACACCGGTCCTGAAATCATCTCGTTTGGCAGCAGCTGCCAGCTTTTCCATTCCCAAAGGCCAGGGGAACTCAGACCAGCTGTGAAGCTAACAAATGGATTCACATCCGCTTCAAGAGGCAGCCAGAGGATTGCCCTAAGCCAAGAGACACCTCAGCTTGATCAATCACTGCTAACAAGAAGAGGGCTCGGAAAAGGTTATTACAAAAATCATCAAGGGACCATTGATGAACCGGTGATCACGCAATGGTGTACCTTTTGGCAGTGTGCGCACCAGCTCCGAGCCAGGCCAGGTGCCATAAGGCAGAAACCGGGCCCAGCACAACTAATATTGCTCTTTTTTTTTTTTTTTTTTGTGAATTTGGTATGGCCAGGAGGGAGGGAATGAGAAAGATCAACCCCCAAGAGGCACACGGTGCAAGGGAAGCATTTTTTTTTCCACCTTCCCATAAATGTATTTACTTTAGACAGAGGTAGGGGAGAAAGTAATCAGATCCCAACAAAGAATGAATCTTTGTGAGCTGGGAGTAGGCAGTGAATGGACTGGCCTCCCCGGCTTGGCCGAGAGTCATTCAATCTCCCGGTAACTATGGCATCTGACAGCCCAGACCCAAGTTCAGCAGCTGAGCCGGATGGGAAGGACAGCGAAGTCTCCGCGCTCTTGCTGTGGATCCCACCTTTGACCCGGCTGCAAAGGGGAGAAGTCTCCTTGCTGCCCAGGGCCGGGACAGGGATCATTTACCTGCCCGACTCTGGAGAGCGCTCCACCTTGCCAAGACAGCAACCCCCCGGGCCTGTTCACAAGGCTGGTGGGACAAAACAATCTTTGTTCTGCAACCGGTGGAAGGGGGGTGCTATCTCCTCTGCTTGGGGCTGGAGGGGGGCTGTCAGAAAAGCTAAGGCGGACACAGAGCTAGGACTTGCGTCCAAAATCAAAGATAATAAAAAGTCCTTTTTCAAATATATAGGGAGGATGAAGAAAGCACCAGGAAGCATGGGGCCCCTGCAAGATACGCTGGGCAATCTGGTGGTTGCGCCAGAGGAGAAAGCAGACCTCTTTAACCAATTCTT